CAACACACACACACACACACACACACACACACACACAAACACACACACACACACACACACCACACACACACACACACACACGCACACGCACACACACACGCACACGCACACGCACACACACACACACACACACACACACACACACACACAAACACACACACACACGCGCGGCGCGGCGCGCTCGCACGTAATAGCACATATTACACACGCGCCGCCACGTAGACAACTTACACACACACACACACACACACACACACACACACACACACACACACCCGCGCGCGCCCACACGTAGGCACCACCCCCACACACACACACACGCCCGCACGTAAGCACACATATACACACGCGCGCGCCCGCACGTACGTACACACATACGCACGCACGCACGCACGCACATACACACACGCGCGGCCGTACATAGGCACACACGCGCGCTTGCGCCTTACTGCGTGCATTCGGTGTGAATCAAGGGGTACCGCTACGTATCAGAACGGCCGAGAAAAACATGTAACATGTAACAAGATGTGTGCAATCCGTGTTTTACCATGGAAACGTTTTAAATTACATGTTGGTATGATAATGCCAAGGGACAATACAAGCGCACACCTTTCAGTTCTCGCGTTGTGGGCCCCGCTATTGCTTCGTCATCTGCAATCTGAAATTTCAATATCATTATTTTAAGAATGAGTTTTTAAAGTAAATACGCGATTTAATGTTTGTTTGAATTTTGTGCGCGGGCGTCTATATGCGTTCGTGCGTGTGTTCGCGCATACGTGCGTGTGTGTGTGTGCGTGCGTATGTGAGTATGTGCGAGCGTGCGTGTGTACATATTTGCGTGCGTGCGCAGACGCAAATGTGTGCATGCAATCCCCCCATGCATGCGCACGTTCGTGCGTGCGTTGACGAGCGAGTAGGTTACCGGCGTTGGATAGCCCGTGATAAGTTCAGGAAACTCCATCTTGTGCTTGTGCTTATGACCGTGAAGTGGACTAACTTGTTGATAAGTTTGGCAGATCGGGTTTTTATCAGCTCTCCGATTTCGTCATGTTTAAAGTAAAATATTAGCTTCTTATTCGGTAGACTGCCCTAATGCATTAAATAAATGACGTGGACTCAAAATAGCTGCACTGCTATATACAATATTGTCAAGTGTAATTTCGCAATAGTCCCGAACTCGTATATAATAAGTAAAACAAACAACCGGCGGTCATTTGCACACTTTTATGGTGTAAGTGTAAAACATAATAACAAAATGTAGATATTGTAATAGTAAGGTATAGCAATGCATGGCGAGGTTTATGAAAGTATCTAACGGTCAGTTGTACCTCGTGCACAAGCAATTCGGCGAGTCTAGAGTACCCTTGCCGCTTTTGATCGCCACACTTTTACCATTTTCTCTTCGACCGACGGCTGTTCGTGAGAAGGGTAAAAGGAATCGTACGATTCTCCTGATGAAACCATATGAACATGCTAGCATGATTGACCCAATTCACATTTTCTGACGGGCGGGAGTCTTGGCGCATGACAAATCTCATGTATGAAAAATGTATGAATTAATGAGCATTAGCAATGGCGGATTCCGGATTTCTGGAACGGGTTCGTGATCAATAAACGCAAATCGGACGGGGTTTACATTTTCAGGTTTGGGGATTTCCAATGGATGTGTACTACGGAAATGTGGTTTGCGATTCGATTAATTGCGATGAAATATTTTTTTAAGTAATTTTATATTGAAAAAACACTTTGTCTCCTGCTATTGGTAAAATCTGGCTTGTAATTGTAAGGAGACCTTATGCACCCCATACCAGCCCCCTGCACCAACAAGCGACAGCATTTCCAGACTCCCATCTTCATAAACATAATTATTTGTTTAATAGTAATCAAATTAGTCCCTCTAGACTCACATATATCACATAGGGGCCTATATGATTACTCACTTTTTGATAGGGCCAATCGGTGATTTAATCTTATCAAGCGCTTCATCTTCTGTCATGTGTTTTTTGTTTCCCTCACTTGATCAGCAGACTTCGTCATATCCTAGGTGGTATGTACAAATACGTGATGAAGCATTTTTTCTCACAAAGAATCGATTATATTCATTATAGCGTATAGAAAATACATTCACCATGAACAACAACAATATAAAACGTGTTGCGAAAATCTTGTTATCTTGTTTGGGAATATCTTGCCGTATAAAATAATCGACACACACACACGCACACGCACGTGCGCACACGCACACGCACACGCACACGCACACGCACACGCACACGCACACGCACACGCACCCGCACACGCACACGCACGCACGCACGCACGCACGTACACACGCACGCACGCAAACACGCACGCGCGCGCACACACACACACACACACACACACACACACACACACACAC